CGATTCGATTTGAAAAAATCAAATCAAATTCAAATTGCTTAAATATTTGATTCGATTCGATTTTGAGGAACCCTAACATATGGTATATCTGATTCAACTAATTTTACATTCTTTTCAAAACCTTTCATTATATTTTTTCAATTTTCTGTTGAAAAAAAAGATTTAATTAAGGAATCCTTAATCAGATCAAGAATGTTTTAATATGTAAGGTTACAAAAAATAATCTGTGATTAATATAGTCATAATTAATATTTATGATTATCTGAAAATATAGTAAACTCATTTCAAATATTTCTGAGTCTTAGAGATTATATCAGTATATCTTACCAATTTTCTCTAATATTAGTGTCACTATAAAAGACTAATGATCAATAAGATATTAGCGTTAATTTATTTCTATATGTTTTACAAAATTAATATTACTGATATTACTATCATAAATCTCATAATTTTTTTTACCTATAGAAAATTTGTCAATAACTGTTTTTACTAGTTGTTAAGTATATTCATTTAATTGGTCTTTTAATTTTTAAGAGTTAGTTATGATTAGTATAATTATTTTCTTTTGGTATTCTTTGAGTAATCTCAAAGAGAGTATTTCTATTTAAATGTTTAGTTATTCACTTATATTAAGATCTAGATCAAAGGTCATGATGTATTCTATAATAAAAAATTACCTAACCTTCTAAATATACTTATTGAAAGCCTCTTAATTTGTTTTTAAAAAAAAATGTAACTAGTGATATTCATTCTTCTTAACATTTAGTACTAGAATATTTTTTGATAGTGTTAACTTTTGTAAAATTATTATTAGAAGGAAGACGAGTATCAGATTGTTCTTTAAGCAACTTAATAACTTGGTTTAATTGATCGTTGGTTGCAACATTTATTATATCTAATACTAATGATTGTATTTGATTTTTTATAACTAATGGTTTAGTAAAATTATTCATATTAATAACTAGTGTAATAATTTTATTAAAATATTTAAACCCATATTTTATACTTGTTGCCTTTAATATCCTTTCTCATTCAATTTGATTCCAATATTCTAATATTTCTTATTTATCATTCTTTCATAAAAAAGTGAACTATTTAGTAGGGTTCCTCAAAATCGAATCGAATCAAATATTTAAGCAATTTGAATTTGATTTGATTTTTTCAAATCG